CCCCTCCCCCCCCTTCCTCCCTTCCTCCCTGCCCCCCCCCCCCCCCCCCCCCCCTCTATGTCCCCCCCCCTGACATCTTTCCCTTCTATCTCCTGCTCTCCTTCAACGCATTGCTCACACTCACGCTAGTCTTGTTATCTCCTCTCGCCCACTTGACCGCCTTCTGCCATGACACAATTTCGCCACCAAAATGCGCCTTTGGTCACCATCACCCCTCCGGCCACAAAGTCTCGTTTATCATCACCTCGGCATGTCCGCCCTTACATTCGATGCGCCCATTTGCTCTCCTCGCCCTACCTGCCTTTTACACTAGCTGGCAATGCCGCAACAAGGCAACAACTCAATTCGTCCAGCATGCTGCCTTGTCTTTGAGGTTTCAACTCCGTCGTTGACTTGCTTTACTTGACACTCCCTCCTCTTGTCAGTCACGTCCATGACCTCGCTGCCATCATTCATCTCATGTTGCTCCATTGGTTCCGAGCCATCATTCTGTTTGTTTTCCTTCTGTTGCCGTTGATCCTCTTCCCGCATGTGAAAGCTCCTGCTCCTGCTCCTGCTCCTGATTCCTAGAATGGCTCTTGGTGTCTCAATGCTTCCATCGCTTTCTGACCACAAACTTGCTTCATATCTACAATGTTGCTCTGTCTTGTCGAAAATCTTCATTGTCAATCTCTATCAAATCTTCATTATGAACCTCTATGCCTGACCCTCTGCTAGAATATGCAGCGATTTCTGTCATGCCCCTGTTTGCACTCATGGGTTCTGATGTTCCTCTAAGGACTGGATCTATTTTGAAAATCGACGGAGCTTGAGCTTGTAATTTTTTTGGTTTCCTGCAACCTTGTCTTGGTACAATGTAAGTTGCCTTCTAATCTTGTGTGGGAGCTGACCGCAAAGCAATAGAATGAGTGAAAAGGACCATCATGTCAAGTGGGATGAAACCAACTTGGAGTACAACGAGCAGAACAAGTGTGCAACTATGAAAATTGACGAACCGCCTACTCCTTTTAACTTCGAATATTGCGAAGATGAAGTGGATGAAGAGCATGGTTCGACCCTGACCTGTTCTTTCCTTTTGCCTCTGACCTGATTCAACACTCTATCAGCAGCCAAAGCATCCTTGTCTTTTGCCGACCAGTGGAAGCGCGAGGGGATGGATGAGATTATCAACGACCCGGAGAAGTTGAAACCGTCGTTTGAAGCCTCGGAACCAAGTGAGGCAATTGGGATGTGGAGGGGCTTGCCTCTTACTGGTCTATACAGCCGAGGAAGACCTTGCGGAGAAGAAGAAGAAATTCGAAGAGATTCGCAAAGAGCACTATCGGATCAAGAATCCGCTCGCAAATCATGTTCAATTCAACGAAGACAACAATGAAGAGCACGAGGTAGAGGATGAGAAACAAGGTGAGCTTCTTGTTCGCCCATGGTCGAATGACGTGCCGGCTTCAGAAGAGGAGGATGCTGAGACCAAGCACGAACTCTTCGTCAAGAAAAGGAAGGCGTTCTATGCCGAACAAGACCGTGAAGCAGCTGAGCGAGCCAAGGCCATGGAAGCTGACGGAATGGCCTCCGAGGACTCCGAGGGGAATGACTGAAGTTTGAAGAAGCTTATACGGTACATGTCTAGGTATACACGATTGAGAAGCTCGTGTGGAATCATGTACTGCTAAACCGACGGACAGCCGCAAGCTTTCGACTGTCTC